CTTGACTTGCGATCAGAGTCATGGAACGGATTAAGTTCGTAAGTAGAGGTACCACTGTAATTTCCTTGAGAACTTGGATCAAAATTGGAGTCCTATGATGTCCCATAAACACTATAGCAAAGGAGTGTTACATTAATTAATACTCCATGCTGTGAAGAAAAAAAAGTGTAGTAACAGGAGAATCTGTTGGCATGCTTGAAAATGATTAGGTATTAGGCCCAGCTCTTAAGGTGTATTATATCAATAATGCAGTTTGCTATATAGTACCTTTAAACCCAAGCACAGTTCTATAGATATTACAGATTCAGACCAAAGCTTATATATCCTTTGAGATCTTATAGGCCTATTACTTTCACCAGCATCATTCAAATTAGCACATTCCCATTGATGAGGAATGATTTCTTTTACAAGAAGCTCACAGCAGCAGGAACACTGCTTAAATGCTGCTACTTGCAAAAGTCCAACAAGAGGAAAGGAGAAGATTCTGGACATGAGAAAGTAGTATATGCCTCCATAAGAAAAGGGCATGGTTCCTACTGTCTTTAAAGATGGAGCTGTGCAGTGCTTATTAAAGAAACCATCCTAATAAGTTTATTAACTTAAAAAAAAATTATCCCACCTTTATTTTTTAAATAATTCAAGGTGGCGAACATACCCAATACTCCTTTCTCCTCCTGTTTTCTCCACAGCAACAACCCTAGGAGGTGAGTTGGGCTGAGAGAGAGAGTGACTGGCACAAGCCAGCTTTCATGCTTAAGGCAGGACTAGAATTCACAGTCTCCTGGTTTCTAGTCTGGAGCCTTAAACACTAGGATAAATTTTTGTATAATGCGTTAGTGATGTTTCTTAGTCCCAGGTATTTGGAAGGAACTGATTACTTAATTCCATACCTGTCTGGAATTTGTCCTCAGTTGGGTGACCAATAGATAGGAACCTTTTTTCTAGATTTTATAAACTGATGAGTTCCTGCACATACCTCAGTTTCTTTCATCAAGCATGTCTATAAATCCATTTAGAAATAAAAATGAATGTATTCAGCAGACCCATACTGGAGAATGCAATCTACTGTAGCTGTGCATTAAGTTTTTGGATGCAATATTCAATAGTTAATTAAACAAATGGGGCACATCCATAGGTATATAATCCCATACATTTTTAAAAAGCTTTTTATTTAAAAAAAAATTGTTTGTATCAACAGGTCTACAAAGTCTTGGTGTCAGTTGGCACTAATGAATGGTTTGTCTTCAGGCGATATGCTGAGTTTGACAAGCTGTATAATACGGTAAGTAAGGGAGTTGGGGAGTTGTGCTCAAATTAGTTTGGGAAAGTCCCCTGAACCAGTTTCTTCTGCATACTGTAACATCTTCTGTTGTTACATCATGACTGAGAACTGAACTGATATCTGAGATTAAATTATATGATTTATGTATTTCAGCTAAGGAAACAATTTCCTACAATGAATTTGAGAATTCCTGCTAAGAGAATATTTGGAGATAATTTTGATCCTGGTAAGCAGTTCTGATTTGGTTCTCACTTTGTCTTTAAACTGTTTCTGCACAAGTGATTTCAAAGCCAATTAAAAATTCCCAGTTGAATTGAGTAAAATACGATAAAATAGTTTTGTGTATGTGTGTGGTTTTTTTTTTTGCATTTTCTTCTATATAACAGTATATAGAAATGCACATAGATGAGTCTGTGGATATAAATGTGCCATAATGAGCTATATCATCAGAACCAACACCAGGCAATCTAGTTCCCTCCAAATGTTTACGATTCCAACTCCATTTAGTTCCAACCTGTATGATCAGTGACAAGGGATTAGGAAAACTGTAATCCAAAATTTCTGGGTGAGAATTCTCTATAGCTGTTCTCCTGTATGCTGTAACACAAGTTACTTGCATTTGATTATGAGCAAATTTGAAGTCAGCTTTTATTTAAATCTGTTTTGACACCAACATGAACCTGGATACCAGAGTTCCTAGCCCATCTAATGCATGCATCTAGTGTTGAGGCAGCAGATGTGTTGTACTGTGTTTGTCCATGTCCCATAATATTGAAGAGTTCAGGTGGCCTGACTTGTTGCTTCAGGTACACGAATGTATGATTAGATCCCTTGAAATTCTTGCTGCACTTTTGACTTAGTAATACTTTCAAAACAGGTTTAAATCAAGGCATGGAACTCTGCGAACACAAGTACGTTAAGCATCAGGCTCCTAAAAATAAGGAATAGTGCCCAGTACATTAAATTCTGTCTATGCTCATTAGTGCCAAGCAGGGTATAATCTAATCCATTGCAAAGCTATATAATTCTGATAAATATGAAGGATACAAATTCTCCATTATAGCAGTTCTGTCAGCATCCAAAATATTTGTATACAGTATTCACCTGCATATAAATAACAGGTTTTGTTTTTGTTTTTGAGGGTTTTATTTGTTTGTTTGTTTGAATCTGATGTGCAGAGTTTGATTGCATCAGATTTCTTTAGACTAGCTATTGCTTCTCAGCTTTTTAGCTGAGAGGCATGTTGTATATAAGATACCAATCTATTAGCAGAAATTGGAAAAAGTCTATATGCTCAAGTGGTTGTATATAATATGTTTTAAATTCTGATTGATTATATGTAGCATATCCTTTAAGTTAGTTCTGGAATGTTTGTCCTCTCTAATTAAAGTCTTTCTTTTTCTCTTTCTCAGTAGAACATGCAAATATAAATAGACTGAATGTGAATGCTTATTGTACCATCCAAATGACATAATAGGCCTACCGGTATTTACTAATCATACTCAAAGAAAAGCATTAGCTCAGTTAGAAGAAAGATGTAGCCCAAACTGTGAAATATTACACAAGGAGGTTTAAAGTATTTGCTATATTTACTCATGGGGAGAGAATTCTAGTTTATCTCTGACTAAATAGAACTTCTCTTCTTTCACTGTGTTCTATGCACCCTAAGTAAAACGCTATCTGAGTTTCAAAGCTGCTTTTATATATTATTGTTTCCTTACTGTCAGTTACTCCAGCTCTAACTTAGTACTGAGCTTAACAGGATAACTAGTTTCTGATTTGAGATGCCGTTATAGAGGAATGCCCTACCATCTTAGTTTTCCTGCTAGCCACACTTATTCCAGTTGGTTTTCCATCTCTTATATCCTACACAGGATAATGTAACATAGGTGCGTAACATAGGATTAATCAAAATGTGTGTGGTACTATCATAT